ATGTGGGTTTTTCTGTTTTGATAAGTGTATCACAGCAGTGTAAGAGCATAATATCACAGGATGTGAAACTAGGTGTGAAGTGTACAGAAATTTCTTGAGTATCTTTACAACTTTTCAATAAATATAATATTATTCCCCCCAAAAAATTTATTTAAATAATCTTTGGAAGTGAGAACAGCAGAAAATGTAGAAAACAGGGCCAGAAACACCTCATACACTAAAAACATTAGATATACTTTTTTAAAAATCTGTGCAAGTTTCCATATTAAGAAAGGAAACGTACAGCTAACATCAACCATAATGGGGCAATGAGAAAAGCTTTCTCTTTGGACCTGGGCTCAATTTGCAGATGATTACTAGCATTACTTGTGCTCACCATAATCTTGGAAGTCCTGGCCAACACAATAAGCAAAGAAAATAAAATAAGTGTAAAGATTATAAAGAAACAAAATTGTCACTAGGTATACCTTATATAAGTTCATATATATCACCATATAAGTTACTAAATTAGAAAGTGGCAAAAATTAATTTATTTTTATATCTTAGTAGCAGGCAGCTAGAAAGCTGATGTGAAATTATGCAGATTTAAGAAAAAAAGGTATGGACAAATAAATGTAGCAGAATGAGTATAAAACATCTAGAGTCAAAGCTATAAATTTTATTAGAAAATATTTTAAATATATTTTATTGATTATACTATTACAGTTGTACCATTCCCCTCCCTTTATTCCCTTCTGCCTTCTACCCCTCCTCCAACATGCTTTTCCCCCCCCCTCCATTTAGTTCCTGCCCATGGGTCATACATATAACTTCTTTGGCTTCTCTATTTCCTATACTATTCTTAACCTCCCCCTGTCTATTTTGTACCTACCAATTATGCTTCTTATTCTCTGTACCTTTTCCCACATTCTCCCTTCTCCCCCTCCCCACTGATAACTCTCCATGTTATCTCCATTTATATGATTCTGTTCCTCTTCTAATTGTTTACTTAGTTTGTGTTTGTTTTTTAAGGTTCGGTTGTTGATAGTTGTGAGTTTGCTGTCATTTTACTGCTCATAGTTTTGGATCTTCTTTTATTCAGATAAGTCCCTTTAACATTTTGTATAATAAGGGCTTGGTGCTGATGAACTCCTTGAACTTGACCTTACCTGGGAAGCATTTTATCTGCCCTTTCATTCTAAATGAGAGCTTTGCTGGAGAGAGAAATCTTGGATGTAGGTCCTATCTTTTCATGGCTTTGAATACTTCTTTCCAGCCCCTTCTTGCCTGTAAGGTTTCTTTTGAGAAATCAGCAGATAGTCTTATGGGAACTCTTTGTAGGTAACTCTTTTTTTTTCTCTTGCTGCTTTTAAGATTATATCCACCTCCTTCTCTTTAATTTTGGGTGATGTAATTATGATGTGTCTTGCTGTGTGCTTCCTTGGGTCTAACTTCTATGGGATTCTCTGAGCTTCATGGACTTCCTGGGAGGCTATTACCTTGGTCAGATTGGGGAAGTTCTCCATTATTTTCTCAAATAAGTTTTCAATTTCTTGCTCTTCCTCTTCTCCTTCTGGCACCCCCTATGATTCAAATGTTGGAACATTTAAAGTTATCTCAGAGGTTTCTAAGACTGTCCTCATTTTTTGAATTCTTGTTTTTTTCATTCTGTTCTTGTTGAATGTTCATTTCTTCCTTCTGGTCCAAACTGTTGGTTTGAGTTCCAGTTTCCATCCCATCACTGTTAAGTTCCCTGTGCATTCTTTCCTCTATTTTGAGACCGTACTCAACTATTTCTGTGAGAATCTTGATACCAGTGTTTGGACGGTGAATCTGATATATTAGCTATCACTTCATTGCGTGCTCATTTTTTCTAGAACTTTGATCTGTTCTTCCATTTGGGCCACTTTTTTGTGTTGGCATGCCTGTTACTTAGTAAGGCATGGAGCCTTAGGTATTCACCAGGGCAGGACAACCCATGTTTCTGCATTTTGGTGCAATATGGGGATGGGGGTCCAAGAAGGAACAATGTGGCTTGCTGGGCTCTTGATTGGCTTTCAGTCACTTCCTCCACTACCTACTAGGAAATTGGACCCTTCTGGTGCTGATTTCCAGGTGGGTGGGTTTGTGTATATTCTAGAACCCTGTGGGTCTCTCGAACGAACTCTCCTGTGAGTTGGGAGCTTCCCATGCTGAAACAAAACCCACAACATTTTTCATCAGGGGTTTCGATGCCTTATTTTTCCACGCTGGAACACTAGTTTGCTTGATCTGTCTCACTCCCCCATTGTTCCTCCCGGTTTACCTGCACGAAAACGTGAGACCACCCACTCTGCCAGCTACCACCTCACCTGGTCCACAAGATGCCACCTTGCCCTCCCCAGTCCCTCTAGGCACTGCCATGCCATGAGTCCTCTCTGCCCCACCTGCCCATCTCCTCCATTCCTACCAGTCTGGATGAATATTTCTTTAAGTCTTTGGTTGTCCAACTTCCATATAGTTTGATTTTCTGGCAGTTCTGCATGCTTTTTTCTTTTTTAAGTTTTTTTTCTTGTCCTTTTGGTTGTGGGAAGAGGCACAGTGTGATATACCAACAATTCCATCTTGGCTGGAAATTTCTAGAGAATATTTTTTAAATTAATAGTATGCATATACCATATTAATGAGATACAAAATCAATATCATAATGATGTCAATTCTCTTCAGTTGTTCCACAAATTCATTACAATCCCAATATAAATCTCAACAAGATTTTGACTAGCTGGTTTGGATATGCAAAAGGATGAGGCATTTTGAAAAGGAAAAGAAGATAGGAAGATGCACTCTGCCAGATGTCAAAGTTCTTATGAAGTTGTTGTACTCTGACAGTCATTGTGGCACTAGGAGAGGATATTACACGCCAATGACAGGGAAGAGGAGCACAGAGCAGACCCTGCACATGTGGCCACTGGGTAATGAAAAGGGCAGTAGAGCAGAGGGCAACAGGATGGTTAACCAAATGTGGTGTCTCAGAGAAAACGACAAGAAAAATGATAAGTCCTTCAAACTGTATATTAGATGCCAAGAAATTCAGTCTCAGATAAGACAGAAAATATTTTTAAAAAATTCATCCAGATGAGAATGGTGCAAAAGTCAAACATGAGTGAGGTAGGCTATACAACCATGGCAGGCAGGAGAGAAAGAAAGTGAAGGAACACAGACACCAAGCTACAGACAGGGCTCACTTTCAGGAAGACTCAGCAGTCAAGGAAGACATCCAAAAACACTTAATGTCACACAAACACCTATATAAATAAAGCAACAGTGTGCAGATTTCTTGATTTAGTAACAAAATGTGGTTTAAAGTTGAGCTTGCAGAGCTATGGAAGGAAATTGAGACCACTCTCGAAAACAAACAGAATTAACTCTTTCAAATTAGAAATTATACAAAACCAAAGAAAGAGCTAAAAGTAAAATAATTGTCTCAGAAGAAAAATTTGAGAGAACCATTATGAACACAAAGTAAAAAACTAAAGAATAAAAGTTTAGGGGGCATATAAAGCTGTGAGAGCTCAATTTGCATCAATGAAAGAATAATTTTGCACAAAATTTGAAAAATAAAAAGTTTTACACCATATTGGAGAAGGAAGCATCTCTGAAATAGAGGTGAAATTGAATCTGCCACCTTAAAGAACACAAGGACTGTGTTTAAGTAGAGCTGTATGGAATTTACCAGTAACTTTTGGTATTGCTTTTATTTATTTATAATAACCAAGGTGTATCCATTTTATTAAATTAATACTACAAGTAGATACTCCAAATTTCAAGCTTTAATATGATAGAAGTCACCAGAAACAAAATTAAAGACAAGAAAAGTATATTTGTAAAGTTCAAACTAAGCAGCAAACTCTACCTTGTCATTAAAGGAAGGACAATCAGCTCAACTAATAACACTGGCCAAAAATAAACCAACAGTTCAGAGAAGAGGCAATTTAAATAGACAATAGACAGCAAAACCTGTTCAACTTCCCATGTAATCAGAGAATGCAAATTAGCAGGCTATATCCCTTAACCCAGCTCCTTTGTGAAGTCTGGGTGTGGACAGATGTCTCATCAGCCAGTGCTGGGAGAATACAGCGGTTCAGCCATAGGAAAAAAAAAAAAGGCAACTTAGCAGGATCTGCAGTATAAACAAGTGAGTGTTATTACCCTCAACAATTTCACATTTCGGTTTTTGAAACTACACAAACACTGGGGTATATGCAAAAAACATGAAGACATATAAAATTATATTTCAGAGCTCGTTGGTAAAGAATTATGGTGTATGGATTCCATGCAGTAGCTTGTGGCCATTAAAAACAATGAGATGGATCCATGTGATGATTAATGTGAAAGGATGTCTAGCCTTTTCTTTGCCAAATGTGTAAACCTCTCCGGAGCAGAAAATGAAAGTACAAATGGAACACTTAACCTGCACTAGTCTTTGGTATCTTGGTCCTTTCTCTTCTTTTGACTCCCTTACCAAGATCCCTGGAGGAAGAACCAGACCCCCAGCCTGAGACCAGAGTAGGCCTGGTGCTGACCCAATGCAGGTCCGGTAGGGGACCATGGCACCCATTGAAAAGTCAGATGTTTAACCTGAATTTTTATATTTTCTAAAGTACCCTCTTGAAATGACCAATGTGAAAGTAGAGGAGGCCTGAGGGAAAAGAGAGGGCACAAAGGTCATGAGAAAATAACAAATCACTGCCTCAAAACCTCAGGAAGCACAACCGTGTCGAAATGACTCCACAGCAGAGCAGTAGGTGTAAGACAAGTGTCCTGTGGACTGTGGCAGCTGCACTCACACCTGCAGCTGTCCCCCCCTGCTGTTTAAAGATCCGCTTCCCTCAGTGCATATTCCTGCATTCCATTACACTGCACGTGAGTGTTCCTATAAACAAGGTTAAGGTCAGGGTTTAGAGGAGTGTCTAATAAATAATAGGTACTAAAGCAGCACCATAGCCAGAGAGAAAGTTAAAGGAAGGCAGACAGAAACTGACCTGGTGCTGAGGTCACTGCCCTTGGTGGCCATCGTCCTGCCCTTGATCCTGCCAGGACCTCTGATCCCTCTGGTGACCCTGCCACATTGAGTGAGACTGCCCAGCTCTGAGCAGGAAATGTAACAGACTCACCCTGAATGCACTCCACCCAAATGAGGAAAAGAGAAGTGAAACTAAGTACCCCTGTGCTGCCCTAGGCTGCCTTTCCCCTTCTATAGCCCCATAGAGTATTGATAGAGGTCCTCAGCCATCAGGACAGTGGCAGGAGGAATGGAGGACAAAGAGGGACAACCAGGGTGTGGAAGGCCAAAGAGGCGGTCTGCCAGAGGGTGCAGAACCAGTCCTCTGTAGTCCCCCTTGTGTGTGCAAAGACACAAAAACAACCTGTGAACCCACTGTCCCCAGCTGCCCCAACCTTCTAAGAGGGTGCAGGGCTTACATGGATGGGAATGAACCCATGTTCCCCTTGTCCATGTGGAGGTGGCTGTTGGGAGAGAGGGAAAGACAGAAACTTCAGATCTTCACTCAGACCCTTGGAGAGCCTAGAGCCAATTGCACTAGTCCCAGTGTTTGGACACAGGGCTGGAGAAGCACCAACCTTAGAGCAATGGTTTCCACATTTGGTCCCTGAGTCTCACTTCCTCTGGCTGGGACTAAGGGTTCTGGCCCAGCTGAATTTAAGACACAGGGAAGGTTCTACCCTCTCTTCATGAATGTTCTTTCTTTCCCCCAAAGGAGTGAATATTGATCATACTGGGACAGATTCCAGGACAATGAGGATGGTTTCTGTATTAGTGGGCAAGGTCTCAATGTGTCTCAGGTGCTGCACACACAGGGATCTGCCCCACCCTCCAGACTGGTAAGCTGAGCCTCTGGAGGACACAGCTGCCCTGTGCTCCCAACCTGCATGGGACTCATGGCCCAGACATAGTCTGACACAGAGGACTCCTGAGTTTCCAGTGTCCCTCCTCTCTCTCTCCTCTGTCCCCAGGCAGCAGGCAGACTAGGCAAGCATCACACTGGGTGTTGGCATAACTGTGCCAGCTTTTCCCTGAGTCTGCTTAGAGTCACCAAATCACCATGTGAATGACAGGCAGATAGCAGTTGGGTGCGTGGGAAAATGTCATGAGCGTCTTGTTCATGATGTAGTCTTTCCTATAAGGCAGCCAGGCAACTGTTTGATTAGCTGCCTGCTGAGCAGCCTGGCACCAAGGAATAGACAAGAGCCACACACAGTAACTATGCTATTTACCCATCTTTGATTGAATGCAGATTCACTCAAAGTAGACCATCAGCATACATTAATATCCTACTTACACGCTAACAGCCTGAGAGTAATAGAACCCACACACACGGCAATCAATAGGGGGATAACAATCCCGAGTCCAGAGTCGCAGTCTGCAGGTCTGAGAGACAGCACAGTGGGCAAGGGAGTTGCCATTGTCTTGCAAGGAAAAATGTCCAGAGTCAGGAGGGCAGCAGGGCAGGAGAAGTACTCAGTCCAGAACGGTAGAGCCTCCAGTGACTGTTGCCAAGGGAGATCGGCGTGGCGGGGAGCAGCACTCTGGTGTGTGGAGCTCAGCTATCTCAGCAATGGAATGGAACCTGCCTCAGTTATACCTTGAAAATGTTGTACCCCACCCTTCTGAGTCTTTTCGGTAAATGTCTTGGCACTCCTAATGCCAAGTGTGGAATTTCCCAGGAGCCTAGCTGTGGGTGGTCTCACTGCGCTGACATAGCTCTTTGAACATGTGTGTAGATATTGTAGGTATGTCTCCTTGCTACACATTTCTCTCACCACATGGGCAGACCTGTCTCCTTGCCAGATGCGTTTACTCTGACTTAGGGAATTTTCCTCTGGAACCAAAGTGTCATGACTGACTGACAGCCATTTTAGTTAACATAAGTGACTCCACTTGGTTTAATATATTTTATGTTATCTTAATAGTACCAATGCCATTTTATTGTTGTTGCTCTCCACAGAAATCCACAGCTGCCCACCTCCTGGGAAGACACTCCCATACTGGGGCTGCCCTGGCTCAAAGAAAGGGGTCTCTTTCCTGGGACCACAGAAAGCTGGGCACACATGCTACTCAGTGAACAGCAGTGGTTTCTATGGGATCAGGAGTCCCCTGTGGAGATGCAAACATTTTTGATCCAGGAAACAAGGTCAGAGCCACCCAGGTTGGGAATCAGAGAAGACCATCTTCAGGAGCAAGTGGACTCCTAATAGTCCTGCTTGGCTGACTTGAAGGAGAGAAGAGCATTTTCTCTCCATTTTCCACGGTGGCAAAGAGCAATGACAACAGGGATGATTCCTGTTTTCAAGGACATTGAGCTACGTGGCCTAGAAACCTGGAAAGCAGGAGAAACAGCAAAGAAGGGTCACGGGGCAGAAGACATAGTGAGGAAATGGGCTTCTCTTGTTCACCAGGGGCAGCTTCCAAACACACATAAAAAATGGGCTGAGTCTCCAGCCTGGGAGACCCTCAGGGGACAGAAGCTTATCCCTGAGATGTGGCAGGGAATCCAGACCTGAGAATTCACAGGCAGGAGGAAGAAAGCAGCAGCAACAGCAGCCACTGTGCTGAGGATGGAGTCCTGCAGCACCTCTGTGGATGTAGGAATGGACACGGTGGCACCTTGACCTCAGAAGGAACACTCAGGCCTTGCACCAGTGTCCCCTTCTCAGAGGTGGCCTATCAACCAGCAGGACTGCTGGCCCCCCTGCCCTCCCATCTTTCTGGGGAGACGCTCAGACTGGGAGTTCTGTGAAAGGTGAGTGTGGTCCTTGGTGGGTCTCTCTGGGCTCATCCTGCTGGAGAGGCCTGGGCTTTGTGTTCCTCCAAGCTCAAGTGCACAGGGACAGTGGTCTGTAGGGTGTGTGAGGGGTAAAGAGTGGTAGATTCAGCAGCTGGGCTTGTGAATAAATCAACTCCTAGGGTTCAGGTTTAGGGGTTATTTTTGGCACACATCTAAGGCACATCCTTTGATCCAGCTTTTATCAGGAAGAATGCTGGTATTTTTTACTTCCATCTGTATCACCTCTGCCTGTCAGTTGTTTTAGAACACATGTCAGGATACTTGGGGCAAGTTTATGCACAGAATTTTGTTTTTTCTCTGTGACTTTCTTTCTTCTGGGTTTTCCACCTTCATCCCCTGAGAGCATAGTTGCCACGGGTTCTTCCTGGCTCTGCTGACCACACAGACTGTGGCTGCTCACAGAGTCAGGCGTCAGTAAATAGGAAGCAACTCATGTTGCCTGCTTCCTTGGTGCTCTTTACCTCCAGACTCACCCAACTTTTTGTTCACTTTGCAGAAGTCTCAGACAGTTGTTCTCTGACCATTGTCCACAATTTCTAGATGTTTTCTGAAAGCATTGGGTTGGGTAGTAACTCACTTCTATGGATCAGAAACAAAACTCTCCATTCCTGCTTGCAAATAGTGGAATAGCACTGCCCAGTCCAAAGCCCAGCCTTGTTCTGGCTTCTGGAGACCCAGTGGGTCCAGTGCCCCTGAACTCCCTGCCCACCAAGGAAGAGATGCTGCTGTGCAGAGCATCAGAGGCACATATTTGTTAGAAGACACACAGCCAGGCTAGATACACTTTGTACTTCTGTGCACCCAGGAGCAAAAAAACACGCCTATGTAGAGTGGTGGCCTCATTTCATAAGCAAAATAACAGAACAAATAATATGCTTGGAGGAAAAAATATGGCTTATTCTAGAAGGTGGAGTGGATACTTACAAACAACTATACAGAAGAGGCATATAAGTTGTTGCTGAAAAGCTTAAGAATTTTTTTCCACCTTAAAGAAGGAGGTTGAGTTATGGTTGTTGAATTCGGCTTTTGCTTCAAGGACTTATTTATACAGACATCTTTCCAAGGGATTTGGGTCACAGCCTTCCCTGTAGCTCTTCCTGCTCTCGATCCCCTGTGTGTGTAACAATGGAAGAAAGAGCACCCAACTGTGTATAGGGGAGAGTTCAAGTCATCCTTTTCTTTAAAATTTTGAGAAAAAAGAACAAAGTAGGAGGGATCACAATACCTGGTATCCAACTGTATTACAAGGCCACTGTAATCAAAACAGATTGGTACTGGCATAAGAACAGACACATAGACCAATGAAACAGAATACACAGCCCAGAAATAAACCCAAGTCTCTATGATCAACTAATGTTTGACAAAGGGGGCAGAAGCATAAATGGAGTAAAAATAGCTTCTCCAACAAATGGAGTTGGGAGATCTGGACAGCTACATGCAACAAAATGAAACTCAATCACCAACTTACGCCATACACAAAAAATGTATTCAAGGCAGATTGACTATAAGTCATGATACCATGAAACTCCTAGAGAAACATTGGCAGAAAAATCTCAGACATTCAATGCAGCAATATGTTCACCAATATGTCCCCTAGAGCAAGGGACATAAAGGCAAGAACAGAAAAATGGGGCCTCATCGAATTAAAAAACTTCTGCATGCCTAAAGAAAACAGCATTAAAATGAAAAGAGAACCACTATATGGGAAAACATATTTGCCAATGATACCTTGGAAAAGGGTTTGATCTCCGAAATATATAAAGAATTCACATGACTCCACTCCAGGAAGCGAACAACCCAATCAAAAATGTGCAAAAGAGTTGAACAGACACTTCTCCAAGGAGGACATACAGAGGCCCCAGAGAAATATGAAAAGATGCTCAACATCACTAGCCATCAGAAAAATGCAAATTAAAACCACAATGAGATACCACGCCACACTGGTCAGAATGGCCATCATAAACAAAGCAACAAACAACAAGTGTTGGAGAGGATGTGGAGAAAAGGGAATCCTAGTGCACTGTTGGTGGGATTTCAGACTAGTGCAACCACTGTGGAAAGCAGTATGGAATTTCCCCAGAAAACTAAAAATGGAACTGCCTTTTTGACCTGGCAATTCCACTCCTGGAATTATACCCTAAGAATGTGAAACACCAATCCAAAAGAATCTATGCACCCCAATGTTCATAACAGCACAATTTACAATAGCCTAGTGCTGGAAGCAACCTAGGTGCCTATCAGTAAATGAATGGATCAAACAACGATGGTACATTTACACAATGGAATACTATG